CCCCCCCCCCGCTAAAAAAATCCTAGCTACGCCACTGAATGGGAACCGCTATGCTATGCTATACGAGGCAAGATGATGTTCTAGCCATATTACAGCTGTACTGCCACCTGGTGTAAAATATAACATTCACAATCATATGATTGTCATATATACTATTGTCGACCGTTCCACACTTCATCAACCTTTATACAAACCAGACGTACGAGTTTCGCATTACGTAACAGTAATTTTAAAATGTTACTTTTTCTCAGGTCCTACATTTGAAATGTGCTCATTGCTAATTCTTTTCAAAACGCCGTTGCGAGGTGGCTATGGCTAAATGCACGTCTGGTTTCACACTGCTTGATCAGCACAGACTTTTATCAACATTGCCAATATTTTCAGGGAATTGATTCTAGGTATACTTCAGTTATACGGGATGCGAGTTTAAAATGCGATAATACACTGTAGTATGTGATGAAGATGTCCAAAGTACATTTGTATGCAATGTTGAATCAAGCAGATATCATAATATTATAATAGTTGAATGTTATATTCCAACACCTTACTAAGTTTTTGCATCTATACCTGAGTTCCTCTAGCCAAACATTTCCATTCTGCCTCTTCGGAAATTGACTCTCTCACTCACCAACTCTTACATGCTGGTAGTTCTAGTCACATAATTTCTTTAACAATTTACTACTTTTGAGCCACAGATTAGAAATCTAATGCATCACAACAGTTGGTAGGTTATCTAGACCACAAGGTAGGATAAAATAAACACAATGAGAAAAGCACCGTCTATGAAAAAGATCAATATTCCATACATCATTCTACACCCAGTATATAAATATTTATATCACACAAACCTTGTATTTATTGCAGAAGTTTTTCATTGTACAACAGAAATATGAGACGTTGCCGTGCATAACGTACAAATTCCATCACCAATGTTGCATGTTTCTGCGCAGAGTCGGCCATTGATTTTCATAAATACCTTGTTGTCTATCTGTATGACAGGAAATGCGTCTCGATTTCTCAGTATTCGGACCAAGAAATGCTCCTTTTTAATGTACATTTATTATGTATATTTAATATATGCATACCTTTGAGGAGTACTGTATGGCTAGACTTGCAATTCAAATTTTATCGAAACAAAAATGGAAATGAGTAGTTTGATGCTTCAAAAAGGTCATTCGCAAAAACATGACAGAATTCATCAAATGGGCCCGCACACAGTAAAGGCAATCTGTATAAAGACATTTTAATAATGCCATAGTTAAATAGACTGTACTTAAAATGCCTCATCATCCTCTTCTGCGAGTTCTTTTGCCATTTCCAAGTCCTCTTGTTCTCGCTGCCTGCGCTCCTATTAAAAATATATCATAATTCTTAATAGATTGACCTTTACAACAAGGAAGAGCATGAGAGATTTCAGCTCTTGTGAACTACTAAATGTTGTTATAACTTTACTTTTAGTCTAGTCGGGTTAAGACATAAGA